CGCTGTGGCTGGGAGGGTCGCGATGCGCTGTCGCGACACGGGCAGGGATGCTGTCGCCTGCGGTGATGCAGGGAGAGGTTGGGTTCGGTCGTTCTGGGGATCTTTTCCAACTTTTCCGGCTGCTTTTCCCCCGCCCTGCCCCGGGCGGCTCGCTGGAGTCAGACCCCGAGTCAGGAGGAGAGGAAGGGGAAGGAGCACAAGGAATCCTTTCAGGCTGGCTCGGAGCTGCGCACTCCGGCTCCCAAAGCGAGCGCTGAAATCCAGCCAGGAATCAGCTCCAGCGAATTTCCTCTGCTGAAAGCAACGGCAATTGGCTGATAAGGCACAGACTTTCTTCCTCTATTTTTTTAATGAGGAAAGAATGTGTTTGTGTACCAGGGAAGAGCTGAGTGCAGTTTTTGCGAGGGTTTCTAGAGAGTTGCAGGTTTTTAATGATGCTCTGCTGTCTGTGTTTTCCTTTTGCCTCTCCCAGCAGCAGTGGACATTTCCCTCAGAAGAGGTAAGGGGCTTTGCCTTTTTCTCAGAGTGTCAAATTGCCAAGAGAAACACAGGCTGTGCTAGAAATGTATTTTTTAATAGCGCTGTCATAGTAAAAATCCTGCTTCTGTTGTAATCCCTGTGCAAAATGTCAGCAAACTCAATTTCTGGCCATTTAACTGCTGAAAAATTCCAGTAGGAAAGGTGTTTAAACTCCCACTCCTGCAGTGACCAACATAAAAGGATAAAGCAAAGCCAGCAGTGATCCCATGGCAGGGTTTGCAGTGACCTGTCCTTTATTATCCATTTGTTCCAAGCACACCACAAGTGTTGCTGAATGTTTTCCTTCTGTAAAAACATGTAGGTTAGCAGATTGTGCCTGCAAAGAAATATTTACTGAGCAAAACAAAACTGTTTGTTTCCACAGTCTAAATATTGGGACTGCTCTGCTGAAAAAACCACCCGAGTGCATCATTTTGGATGATGTGTCTTTTCACTTTGATCTTCCCTCAGAACCAAAATAAGCTCTGCTGCTCCTGCATGAGACAATCCTTGGCTTGTGACAGCCTGAAAACAGACATTGTTTACTCCCTGGGCAGGCAGAAATATTGCAGAGCTGGAAATTGGGATGTGGGAATTCAAATGGCGATCCCCAGCACAGATACTGGAAATGAAAGAGTTTGAGGCTGGATGTAAATCAGAAATTCTGCCCTGCCGGGGTGGTGAGGCCCTGCCTGACCAGAGGGGATGTCCCACGCTGGCAGTGCCCAAGGCCAGCCTGGGATGGTGGGAGGTGTCCCCATGAGGGGGTTTTAAAGTCCTTTCCAACCCCAAACATTCTGGGATTCTGTGGCACTGCAATATCCATTGAAATATTGCATATAGATATATTACACCTATAATGCATATTTATATTATACGTATATTGCATATATATAAATGTAATAGCTATATTGCATAAAGATATATCTATATAGCATTGATATATATATTGCGCATCTATATTGCATATCTATATTATATTTATATTGCATATCTATATTGCATATAGATAAAATATATATCTATATTGCATAAAGATATATCTATGTTTCATCTAGATAATATATATTATATCTATGTAATAGCTATATTGCATAAAGATATATCTATATAGCATTGATATATATATTGTGTGTCTATATTATATCTATATTGCATATCTATATTGCATATAGATATAATATATATTTTATCTATATTGTATATCTATATATTGCATCTAGATATAGTATATCTGTATTGCATATCTATATTATTTTATATTACATATAGATATATATTATTGCATATAGATACGTATAGCATAAAAGATAAATTCTTGCTGTCTCTGCTTGGATAAGGAAATCTCTCATTTTGACCATTTAACTTCTTAAAAATAATTAATTAATAATTTTTAACTAACTTCTTAAAAATTTTAAAAATTTTAAAAGCGTCTTGGAACCCTTGCAAGGGAGCTTTGCTTTTTAAGAGGCCGCATGTGCCAGCTTGCTCTGGCAGTGTTTCTTTGGGAGGAACTCCCAGCATCTGCAAATCCCAGAAAAATCACGAGAAGAGCAGGACATGAAAGGACCTAAACTTTGAAATACAGCAATAAAAACTTGGAGATGCCATTTGCCAGCCCAATAACACAAAAACCTTTTACGTGTGTTGTGTTTTCCATATACACAGCCCAAAACTCATCCAAACCGATGTTTTATTTTAATTTTGGTGCTGTTTAGTGCCGTTCCTGTGACAGCTTTCTCTCCCTCCCTGCAGGGCAGACGGTGTGCAGGCGTGGGATGCAGAAACCCTGAATGATGTTTTATTTTAATTTTGGTGCTGTTTAGTGCCGTTCCTGTGACAGCTTTCTCTCCCTCCCTGCAGGGCAGACGGTGTGCAGGCGTGGGACGCAGAAACCCTGCTACAAAATCGTTTATTTCCACGATGCCTCCCGCAGGACCAGCTACGAGGAGGCTCACCTGGCCTGCAGGGCTGACGGGGGACACCTGGTGAGCATCGAGAGCCCCGCGGAGCAGAGATTGATCGAATCCTTGATCAGGAGCCTCCTGGCCTCGGATGGAGACTTCTGGATCGGGCTCAGGAGGAGGAAGGAGGAGGGGGACAACAGCACTGAGTGTCACCGCTTCTACTCCTGGTCAGACGGGAGCTCGTCCAAATTCCGGTGGGTACCTGGGGCTGGCACGGGAATCCGGGATTTTGTCCAAGAAATCCAGGCAGGGATGTCCCAGCTGTCACTTGTGCTCCGTCTGTGTTGTATTTTCTGACATCCCCATTGTTGGGAGAAATGATGACTCTGCCTCCATGTTCTCAGAATGCTAATTTATTATTTTATGATCTATATTATATTAAAGAATGCTAAACTAAACTATACTAAAGAATACAGAAAGGATACAGACAGAAGGCTTAAAAGATAATAACGAAAAACTCATGGCTCTCTTCTCAGAGTCTGACACAACTTAGCTCCAGTTGGCCATTAATTTGATATGGATTGTTCAATTGTTCAATTCCATGTGAATTGTTCAAAACAATTCACATGAAACCAATGAAACAATCTCCAAGCCCATTCCAAAGCAGCACAACACAGGAGAAGCAAATCAGATAATTATTGTTTTCATTTTTCTCTCAGGCTTCTGAGCTTCCCAGGAGAAAAATCCTGGGCAAAGGGATTTTTCAGGAAATGTGAATGTGGCACTTCTGCACCCATCCCATCACCCTCCCGGTGGTGCTCCATGGGAGTGGCTGCTTTAGGCTAAAATGATAATTTTGGGGGGGCTAAAAGGAGGGGAAACAACAAGTGGTGCGGCCTTAAAATCTCTGATTAGGCAGCTACAAATGACATGAAGATTCCTACGTGAACTTTATACCTGCTGTCCTGAAAAATGAAAAATTTTATTCCTCTACAGAAGATTCCTGCACTACAGATCCCATAAAGTTTATACCTGATGTCCTGAATAATGAAAATGTGATTCCCTTCCTGAGGGAATAATATTTTTTCCTGTAAGACAGCGAAATATTAGAGCTGCAGGATTTATTGCAGCCATGGAAAACTAAAATTTTCACAGCACTTTTTGGATTTCTGCCTCCTTGTCTTAAGGAACCACAGGATTTGTTATAATGAAATTATAAAAGCAGCAACACTGACACCAATTTGCATCCTTATATCAGACATGTAAAAAACACCTTGAAATTTTGACCTTTTTTGCTCTGGGAGCAGCCCGTAAAGCATTTCATTGACTCAGAAAGGAACAAATAAAATCAGGTTTTGGCATTATTTGATATCTTAAAGTCTCTCCTGTGGCTCAGATATTGGGGGTGGATAATGGGAAGCTGAATCTGCTGCTAAGAAACAGGCACAGCTTTGCTGCCTTCCATTGGTGAGACATTTTTCTTTCTGCTGAATGACAGAGCCAAGGAAAACACCAGGGGAGGAAGGAAGTGAGGGAGGAATAAAGCATTGGAATGGCTGGAAAAACACATTTAAAATGGGTGTTCTCCCATGCTGAGAACCTCAGGATATCTGGAATTATTTATGTCTTACCCATAAATTTTGGCAGGCAGGACATTGCTGGTTCCAGAATCAGTGGGGATTGAACAATTGGCAAAATCAGGGCACTTTTAGAGGTGTTTTCTGAGCTGCATAAAATATCTCCTTACCAACAGTGATTTTACAGTGCACTGTAAAATCCTCCCTCCTGTGCACTGCCTGGAAAAGCAGCACAGGTGGCTGGTGGTGAGGTTTATTCTTGGAAAACAAAAAAAAAGAAATTATCTGCAAGGCTGTGGTGGTGCATTTCTGACAGAGGAAGGCAAGTTCTGCTTCAGATTTTTAGTTTTCTTCATTAAATAGGTGCCAAAATCCCAGGCACTGAGACTGAGAGAGCAAAAATGATGATTTTTGCACAGGTTTAAAATTAAGTGTTAAAATTGAGCTCTTCTGCAAGGCTCAGTGAACTCAGGAGAACTTGGACTTTCTCTGCACAATTGCAGCTCACTTTGAGCTATTTTATTGTTCAAGAAATTATTTTGTCTATGAGAAAACGGTGAATTCTAAACCCACATTGTTAAAGATGTTCCCAGGGACCAGAACTGAATCCTTGTTTCTGGTTTACTCCATGGTGCCCATGCTCATTGCCACTACATTTAAGAAATAAATTTGTTTTAAGATAATTCTAAAAATCTGTTAATTGCACTAGCTGAGACCTTTTGGTAATGCTGACTGGGACAGGGAGGAGGGAAGGGAAATCATGAGGAGCTCAGCCCTTTGCTCTCTGATATCTGTCAAACTTGCTTGCGGAGTTTGAAAAATCTGAATTCAAAGGACAAACAACTGCATTTCATCCCTCCCATTTCCCCAGCGGAGCTGCAGGGTGTGCCATAACCCCTCCAACTCTGCTTTTTCCCCCTCCAAGCTGCTGGCAGCTGGCCCTGAGGTGGTTTTTTGTTGGGAATTTAGCTGCTAGAGAATGGAAAATTACAAAGCTGTGGCTAATTCCAAGTCCTGCACCTGCACAGATAGCAGTGTCCTTGGGCCTAGCTGTAGTATAATAACAAACAGTGAAAGAGACATGAGAAAAGAGAGATGTAACCCCTAAGGAATGAGGAAGAGTTCATGGTATAGTTTAACCAATAGATTGTTTGGCTTACAGAATATTCATAAGCTTATTATTTGCTGTATAAGTGTTTGATACTTTCTTCAATAAACTGGGCCTGAAGGACCTGAGGGACCGGGACCGGGCCTGAGGAACCTGGAATGAACCAACTGGTGTCCTGGTCCCCTTCCTTGGACAGTTTTTGTGTGTTTTTCCCCAGGAACTGGTACGTGGACGAGCCATCGTGTGGGGGCGAGGTGTGCGTGGTGCTCTACCACCAACCCTCTGCCCCTCCTGGCCTGGGGGGTCCCTACATGTTCCAGTGGAACGACGACAGGTGCACCATGAAGAACAACTTCATCTGCAAATACGCCCTGGGTGAGGAGGCCCTGGGGGCTGCAGGAGGGGCAGTGAGGAGGGCAGCGGGTGATAGGGAAATTGTAGAGGGGATTGAGGGCTGGTCCGCAAGAAAAGCTGAATTAATAGGATAAATAATCATTGATGATTAAATAACAATTGATAATTGAGTAATAATGGATGGTTTCCCGGTGTATCCATAGCAAGGAAGGAGACAAGGCTGGGAACAGATTACAAATAATACATGAAAATTTTTGTAAGCTGGACTACGTGCATAAGTGGATGTGTATACATGCCTTATTAAATTGCTGTAAAACTTACAGAAATTTCTCTAAGTTATACATAAATTCTGCAAAACAGAATTTCTGTTTTGCAGAATGTACAAAATTTCTGTTTTACAGAAATGCTGTGAACTTACAGAATTTTCTGTAAAACTTACGGATTATATTGACGCTAATTGCCTTGCAGCAATGAATATAATGAGTTATTCTGGTGTAGCTAATGAATTAAGATCAGGCTTTGCTAAGAGTAGGAGAGCTGGAGAACACACAGAATAAAAACTTTTACTTCTTAGATACTGAGCGTGTGTGTGTGCATATCAGGGCCAACCTAACAGGGACAGGAAATCCTCCCTCAGTTTTTAATTTATGCAACAAATGAGGAAAACATCCCAGTGTCTGTGGCTGCCTGTGGTTTGCATAAATTCCCTGGGGGTTTCCATGAGGGGTTTGAGGTCTCAGAGAGGGGGAGAACACAGAAGAACTGTGCTCAGGTTGGAAATTGTGCATTTCACTCATGGAGAAATTCTGCATTTCTCTTTTCCTCCAGAGAAGCCAACAAGAGCTCCAATAGACAATTCCCGAAGAGGTGAGTTGGACAGATTTGTTTGGGAATTTTTCTAAAATTATTAAAATATTTTAATAATTAAAATAATTCTTTTAATTAATTATTATTTTATTATTTTTAAAAATTATTTCCACTGCTGGCTTGCTGTTCCATGCCTCATCCTGCAGGGAAAATCCCATTGCTGGTGATGCTGCAGGGATTGAAGCACAAGAATCCCAGCGCACCTCACACATCTTTGCAGCTCCCAGCCTCTTCAGTCTCCTCTCAGCCAGCCTTTTTTATTATTAAAAAAAATAATTCTGCAGGATTAATGAAGCTGCTTCTTTCCAGCTGTGGCAACAGAGCCCTGGAAGCCAAAATTCCCAGAGGAACGCTGGAGGAAAGGTGCCAATGGAACAGCTGGGAGAGCCAAAGGTAAATTCTGCTCTCAAAACCTCATTTCGAGTGTTTGGCTCAAAATGTGGAAGACTGAATATAGAAAATAATCTCTGGAAAAAAAAACTTCCCTTAATATTTTCCAGGACAGAATAAGGAGGTTGCTCTGAGGGTAAAAATGTTCAAAATCCAAAGCTGTGCTAAGTATTTTTGGTGTGAAAAAGCCACTGTTATTATTTAGTCATTGTGAATTAATTATTATATTTATTGTGAATGTTACATAATGAATATGATGTTATTATTGTGAATTTTATTATTATATTTCTTGTGAATGTTTTGTTTGCACACCTGTGATTAACCATGAAAAACTTGCAATTTCTTCTCATGACCCTGCTTCATTTTTGCCCCCAGAACCCATTCAGGGCCTTGCCTTCATCCTGATTTCCAGCGTTCCTGTGCTGCTTCTCCTGCTGGCCATCACAGGCATCTCCTGCTTTTGGCTCTTCATGAAGAGGTGAGGGGAATTTTTGTGTTTGTTCTGAATTAGCAGTGACACCTTGTCCTGTTCACAGCTAATTTCACCATCCTGGAAACAGCTCTGCACAGGAGCGTTTGCAGCCAAAGAAATGCTGAAAAAGTGGCGTTGATGCTCCAGGCTGAGTTAACTGGAAGTAAAATTCTAAGTAAATCACATTATATTCTTTTCTTGCATTCACAGATATAGCAGGCAGGAAAAAAAAAAAAAAACCAGATTATGATTTTGATGTGTTAACCCTTCTACTTTTCTTATTAAAGATTTGAATTTCAGAAGTTCCCCTTGAACAGCAAAAAAAAATGCAGCAATGGAAACAAAAGGATAACAACTTGGACCCGAGAATGTTTAGCAAGAAACGTTTTCCAGGAATGCAGCCTGGAATAAGGAACATCCTGGGCCCAGCTTTGCTCAAAGCCCATCACCAAATCACTGTCAGGGTTCTGCTGTTGGTTTGTGTTTTCCTCTCTATTTTATGTGTTTTCCTTCTTGCCCTGCCCTCCTCAGGAGACAGGAGCTGCTGGATGTGGCCCTCAGCAGATCCTGCTCTGAGATTTTCCAGGAGAGCAGCCTGGAAATAAGGAATGTCCTGANAAAAAAAAAAAAAAAAAAAAGGAAAGAAAAAAAAAAGAGGTATTTGATGAGAGTAATGGCTCTGGAGGATCAGCTTCCTCTTCTGTTTTAGGTAGTTTTAGTTGCTACACCTAGAGGTGAGCTTTTTGCAAGGCTCTCTTCTGGTCGCTTTCATTGTTGACTGAAGAGGTTCCTGCTGCTCTGTACTTGACCAAAGTCATTGAAACCCCGTCCCAAGCACGGCCTGGAAGTGAAACAGACCCGCAGCTATTCAGAGGGGCTGCAGGTATCCATCCCCGTGAGCTTGTGCGGGAAAATCATCCCTTGAGGAATGGGAGCATTCCTGAGATCTGGAGCTCCGCGGAGCGCGGCAGTGCCCTGGCTGTGATTGATGAGCTCCGCATCGCAGGGGCTGAAACAAAGTTCTGCTCTCGCCTCCTTTCTCAAGTTCATCATCAACTCGGCTCCTTCTGAGCCCTCCCTTGCTCCTCGAGCGGTGCCAGCGCTGCCTTTCCAAGTTTGGGGCCATGTGCCAGAATTGCAAATGCTCCACTTGAAGATCCTCGCTTGTCGTTGCTCCTCAGCCCTCGTTTCTTTGGCAGGCTTTGTGGTGGAGACGAAAACTTCAATCTTCGTTTTCATTGTCGTTTTAGAAAGCCTGTTTGTTTAGCATTGTTGGAAATAACAACAGAAAACACAGAGCTTAAAAAGCTCCCCAATTCCTGGACGGTTCTTTCATCTGTGTCCTAAGGAACTGCTGAATTCTGGTATCCTGAATTTATTTTCACCAGTTTTTCTGTCCAGCCTGCAGCCTTTTTCTCTTCCTGGGATTTTTACAGCAAATTTGCCTGTGTGCTGGAGGATTTTTTAGTCAAGATCTTTGATTTTTTTGAGTCAGCTCTGATTTCTGCAGTGAGGGATGCAAGAGTGTTTTTCTGGAACTGAACTGCTGACTTGGTTGCTGGAAGTATTTACACAATCTCTGAGGAAGGGGAACCCTGTTAAGATCACTTCTGGTGATGTCAGAGGAAATTAATTCCAGCCAAATACTCTTTGGAATAAGCAATTCCAGCTCACCTGATTGTTGGGTCCCTGAGCGCCCAGAGTGGAAATCCTGCTTGGTAATGGCTCCAGCCTGAGGGGTCTGCGTATTTCAAGATTCATATAAACTGTTGCTTAAGTTCCAGTGGAAGAATATTCAGTTTTTAGGTGTGGAAGGGCTGTGCTGGTGCACCCTCGGGGCTGTGCTGGTGCTGAGGTTTGCTCAAAAATCTTGTTTTAAAAGGACTCCTTGTCAAAGTTTCTCCTGAATCTCTTGATTTGAACCCTTTAGATTCACCACCTGTTTGTTGTTGGGATTTTCTAGCACTGGCACTTTGAAATTGTGTTTTATATGACTTCGACCTTTAAAATCTTCGCTTTTATTTTTTAACACAACTCTGCCTAGCCAACAGCCATCGAATTAAAAAAGATGGGCTCTTATTACCTTGAATGCAGCACTTATGGATTGTGTACAATCCCCCCTTTCTATGGAAAGTCTGCAGGTGAGAAAATAAAATCGTTGCCATAAATTGTGAGCAGAGGTGGAAATTAAATGGAAGCAAACATGAAGCAGGAGAACGGCACGGGGTGTGTGCAAACAAAATCAGAAATCAGAACTTGAATGAAGGCAAGTTCTAAACAACCATGCAGAAGTGTGAAAGTTGGGAAACATGGGATTAATAAAGATATTGAGTGATAAAGATATAATGAATAAATCGGTTAATTAAAGATATTAGGAATAGAGGTGCTGCCGGACCCTTTTGACTGCCAGTCCACCCAGGTGTGTGACTAATAAAGATATTAGGTGATAAAGATGCCAGGAATAAATAAATTAAATAAAGATATGTAGGCATAGAGGTGCTGCCTGACCCTTTTTATTGCCAGTCCACCCAGAGAGGGGATTAATAAACATATTAGGTGATAAAGATATTAGGAATATATAAATTAAAGAAAGATATGTAGGAATAGAGGTGCCTGACCTTTTTTACTGCCAGTCCATCCAGAGGGGTGTTAATAAAGATATTAAATGATAAAGATATCAGGAATAAATAAATTAATAAAAGATGCTAGGAATAGAACATTTTTACTGCAAATTCACCCAGCGGGGACTAATAAAGATATCAGGTGATAAAGATATCAGGAATAAATAAAATAAAGAAAGATTGTAGGAATAGAGGTGCTGCCTGACCCTTTTTACTGGCAGTCCACCCAGAGAAGGAATTAAGAAACAGATGATTAAGATATCAGGAATAAATAATGCAAGATATTAGGAATAGACCCTTTTTAGTGCCAGTTCACCCAGGGGGGGATTAATAAAGATATTAGGTGATAAGATATCATAAATAAATAAAATAAAGAAAGATTGTAGGAATAGAGGTGCTGCCTGACCCTTTTTACTGGCAGTCCACCCAGAGAAGAAATTAATAAACAGATGATTAAGATATCAGGAATAAATAAAATAAAGAAAGATTGTAGGAATAGAGGTGCTGCCTGACCTTTTTTGCTGCCAGTCCACCTGGAGGGGGATTAATAAAGATATTAAATGATAAAGATATTAGAAATAAATAAATTAATTAAAGAAATTAGGACTAGAGGTGCTGCCTGACGCTTTGGGAGGCTGACCCCGACCTTTGCCTGCCTTGTTTGGGTGTTTGGTGCCATTTGAGTGCAGCCCACGTGGCTTTTGCTGCCACGCTCCATCCTTGATCCTGCTGCCCAGAAATCCTGTGATCCCAGGGCAGCTCCTGCTAACGAGGCGTGGAAATGAGCGGAGATCGTCCTGCAGGGAACGGGAATCGTCATGGGGAAGGTGGGGGGATTTGATTCTGGTGAAATGGGGATGGGGATGGAATTGGGAAAAGGTTTGGGATGTAGGGAAAAGGGAAAAAGCTTGGAACATAGGGAAAAAGGAAAAGGTTTGGAATGTAGGGAATTGGGAAAAGGTTTGGAGAAGGTTTGGAATGTAGGGAAGTTTGGAATGTAGGGAATTGGGAAAAGGGTTGGAGTGTAGGGAATAAGGAAAAGGTTTGAACATAGGGAATAAGGAAAAGATTTGGAATGTTAGGATTTGGGAAAAGGGTTGGAACATAGGGAATAAGGAAAAGGTTTGGAGAAGGTTTGGAATGTAGGGAAGTTGGAAAAGGTTTGGGATGTAGGGAATAGAGAAAAGATTTGGAATGTTAGGAACTGGGAAAAGGTTTGGAATGTAGGGAATTGGGAAAAGGGTTGGAGTGTAGGGAATAAGGAAAAGGTTTGGGATGTAGGGAATTGGGAAAAGGTTTGGAATGTAGGGAATAGGGAAAAGGTTTGGGATGTAGGGAATTGGGAAAAGGTTTGGGATGTAGGGCATAGAGAAAAGATTTGGAATGTTAGGAACTGGGAAAAGGGTTGGAATGTAGGGAATAGGGAAAAGGTTTGGAGAAGGTTTGGAATGTAGGGAAGTTGGAAAAGGTTTGGAATGTAGGGAATTGGGAAAAGGTTTGGGATGTAGGGAACTGGGAAAAGGGTTGGAGTGTAGGGAATAGGGAAAAGGTTTGGAATGTTAGGAATTCGGAAAAGGGTTGGAGTGTAGGGAGTAAGGAAAAGGTTTGGAATGTGGGGAAGTTTGGAATGTAGGGAATAGAGACAAGATTTGGAATGTAGGGAAAAGGGGAAAGGTTTGGAATGTAGGTAATTGGGAAAAGGTTTGGAATGTAGGGAAGTTGGAAAAGGTTTGGAGTGTAGAGAATAGGGAAATAGTTTGGAGTGTATGGAAGTTTGGAATGTAGGGGAGTTGGAAAAGGTTTGGAATGTAGAGAATAGAGAAAAGGTTTGGAGTGTAGGGAATAAGGAGAAGGCTTGGAATGTAGGGAAGTTTGGAATGTAGGGGAGTTGGAAAAGGTTTGGGATGTAGAGAATAGAGAAAAGGTTTGGAGTGTAGGGAATAAGGAGAAGGCTTGGAATGTAGGGAAGAGGGAAAAAGTTTGGAAGG